ATTAATATAGGGGAAAAACTAATTTTTTTCCTACTATACTCTCAATACAACAGACATGTGAGTTTTTTCCACACTGATCAATTCTCTGAAACTAACCAAGTATCCTACAATTTGATTCAATTCTGACACTAAATGGAGTTATCCAAGACCCTAGAGGTTAAGGGCTCAGTCACACAAGTCTCCCACTCCTACTTCAGGTGCCAATTGCAATAATAGGTCCCCAAGTTACCCACAACTTTTGTCCAACTTTCTAGAAATCAGACATTCTTATGATTCCTTCTTTGGACTTGATCATTTGCACGAATGACTCACAGAACTCAGGGAACCATTTTACTTACTATTACTGATTTATTGTAAGAGGATAAAACTCGGGAATAGCCAGATGGAAGAGATGCATAGGGCAAAATTTAAGGGAAAGTGTAAAGAGTGTTCACGCCCTCTCCTGATTCACCACTCTTTATATGTTCAGAAATCTGGAAGATCCCTAAACCCTGCCCTTTTGGGTTTTTATAGAGGCTTCATTACATGGGCATGGTAGATCAAATCTTTGGCCATTGGTGATCAACTCAACTTTCAATCTCTCTCTCCTCCCTGAGGCCAGGGTGGGGCTGAAACTGCCAACCCTCTAATCACTGGGTTGATTTCCCTGTCAACTAGACCTCACTGGAAGGCTATCCAAGAACCCCCAGACATTAGTCACCATTTAGCATACAGAAAGACACTTGCCACATCAGAGATTTCAAGGACTTTAGGAGCTGTGTGACAGAGAATGGGGCAGAGACCAAATATATAAAATAAAAATATATCACAATATTATACTTTAGTTCATTAAAATAATCTCACCCATTTATATCCTAGTTTTCAAAATTGTATTGTTCTACTCTTCTACCACTATCATTCCTTTGTAGATTAATACCCCTGTAAACCATTTACTATAATAATGTAAATCCCATGTTTTAATGGGTTTGGGGGATGCAGTAGTTGTATTTGTGTGTGCAGGTAGACTGTACTTTTGTTTTGCACTGCATGCTATTTTAAAATTATTTGTTTTATACTGTTTCCTCTACAAGATTGGAAACTCCATGACAGTAGGAAATATTCTCTCTTGTTCACTATTGTATCATCATGTCCCAGCACAGTGCCTGGAACATAGTTGTCATTTAATAAACATTGGTTAAATAAATGAATACAGACAAGTTAGAGGCAGGAGGCAGGAAAGGTCGTAGGGACAGACATCAAAATCAAATATTATAATCTCTGTCATCATTTTGTCCAGACCAGTGGTTCTTAATGGGGAATGATTTTATTTCTCGGAGGACATTGGTAATGCCTGGAGACATCTCTAATTATCAAACCTAGGAGGGTGATACAATTCACTTAGCATCTAATGAGTAGTGCCAGGGATGCTGCATTGCACAGCGTGGCCCCTACAACAAAGAATTATCCAGTCTAAATTGTCAATGCTGCTGAGGCTGAGAAAGCCTAGACTAAGCTCTAATGTATAACTGTAGCTTGATCTCTCACAGATACCCAGTCCACTTAAAAATACCACATACGTATGTCAAAACTTCTATCTATATGTCCCCTTTGGTGTGTGGGCTCAGTGGAAAGTACTAAGTTTGAATATCCTATGGCTCCCCCATTTATTATAGTTTACCTTATATTTAATATATTCACTTTTTTGAAAGCTAGGATTAGAGGATAAAGAAGAGAGTGTGAAATAAATTCATAGAATCCCTACCTAATTCATTAATTTCCTTTGCTACCTGCAATGGTAAGTAGATTTAGTGGTGTCTTACATAGTTTCTCAGCTGTTCTCCCATCTTCTCAGAGGAAAGTGCCTACCAGGCTTTTCACAATAACCAGATAGGGTAATCGTAGCAATCTAGCATTAGAAGTTTCTCGGCCTCATTTAAGATAAAGTAATTATGCCTTGTGCAGCTAGCTCAGTACAGAACTAGAATAAGAATTTGAGTCTTTTCTAAAAGGTAGCAGTATTCTGTTGTAGCATATTCTTTGAATTAAAAACAACAACAGCAACAAAGAGTCCTTTGACTACACAAATCCACCTTTAACAACACAACAAATAAAATACTTACTCTCTCATCCTTTCATCAAAACTGAAATCACCTGGGGCGACTATTTCATGTCATCCAACCATGCCAAATGTTACACCACAGACACAGTTGGTTATGACCTTGCAGACAAAGCGTGGATTTGTAGTTATATGTTGTAACATGCAGCACATTCTTGCATAAGCCATGTTTTGATGACAGCTATGTTTGTAGAGTGAATTAAATCAAACTAAACTCAGCGGTTAGTCATGGTTGGTTATTTAATGCTTTACCACTCCCCACCTTCACCTCTCTCTTCCAATCTCATCATTTAAGGCCAGACAAAATTTGGCACAAAATGCAATCTAGGACTGCTTGGCAGTCCTTGGTCCACCAATGACTTGCGACAAATTCTAAGTTAACCGTTTTGCTTTTGTTACTCTCTCTACAGAAAAAGGGTAATGGCTTCCTTCCTCATTTTCTACTCCCCAAATTTCTGAAAGCCAGTAACACAAAGGTTCCCTGACATCTTCAGACAGATGAAAGCCCTGAATGAACTCTGAATGAGTCTGACTGCTTTCCCCATCACAGCTCTGTGAGATGAAAGTTCAATCATTTCTTTTCCCTAGAAATCCTCTTCCTTCAGGCCCTGTAGGGCTTCTCTAAGTCTGAATGTTTAACAGCACCTCTGGGCCAGCTTTTAACAGAACCGTTCAACCTTCTCATCAGGCCACAGACCAAAGTAGTTAATCCACCCTCATCCATGACCGTGGTATAGATTTAAAGCTTCTGTCATCACAAAGTGGTAACCTGGATATTGACTTCTCTACCAACTCCCCACTGAGCATATCCTTCCTCCTTACTTATGTCCATTTTCTTGTATTATTTATGCACATGACTTTTCCCCACTAAACTATAGTTCCTTGAGGAATTAAAGATGGAGAAAGAGTGGAGGAGGAGGAAGAGAGCTTAAGAAATTAGTTTTTCTCTGGGCCTTGTCCCCTGACCCAGAGAGCTTTAGGGTATCCTTGATATGAATTCACCCGGGCTTAGCTGATCTCTTCTGGAACCCATCTGTGTCTTAGAGAGAGTAGAGAAAGTGTTGGGGATAGACAGAGTAACATGAGTACCTAGGACAGTTTAAGATTCTTTAGGGACTCTAGAGAACTGTAGATGATGCATCTTCCTCTGGTTCCATAAGAAAAGTCCTGGAAGTTACAGAGAGAGGGAGAGGAAGAAACAAAGGAAAGAGAGGGAGAGAGAACACACTGGACAAAAAGTATGCTAGAGAGAATGCAGGGAAGAAGCAGAGAAAAAGGAGGAAGAGGAAAAGGAAGAAAGGAGGAATAAATGGATTGACTTCTCTACCTGGCTTAAGTTGAGATTTTCTACAAACTAGCAAAGGGTCCTCTGGAAGATATGCAGTACATCCAAACTGTTTTGCGAATCTAACACACTTGGTTATCAGCAATATCATATCACTTAACCTAATGCAACAGGAGGGCTGCCTAATAAAAGCATATTTTTGACCATGTTGAAATAAAGATATTAATGTTATGTATTAAGGCGTGCTATTCAGACTAAAAATTTATTTTTTTCTTCTGTTTTCTAAAGAATTAAAAATCATTAGTCTGGGTGTGATGGCTCATGCCTATAATCCCAGCACTTTGGGAGGCTAAGGTGAGAGGATTGCCTGAGTCCACGGGTTCAAAATCAGCTTGGGCAACTTGGCAAGACCTCATCTCTACAATAAATCAACAAATTAGCCGGGCATGGTGGCACCTGCCTGTAGTTCCATCTACTCGGAAGGCTGAGGCAGAAGCTTTGCCTGAGCCCAGCAGGTTGAGGCTGCAGTGGCCCTGAGTGTGCCACTGCACTCCAGCCTGGGCGATAGAGTGAAACTCCGACTCAAAAAAAAAAGAAAAGAAATAAAAAGAAACAAAAAATATTTCCACAGGCCTCTAAACATATTGTGGAGTCTCTAGGCATTGTGTCTATTGTGCCTGCTGAGGATATTAGCCCTGACAACAGGACCAAGCAAACCACTGGGGTCAGGAGTTCTGTCTAGGAGAGAAACCCTGCCCCCAGGAGTGTGGCTCCATCCTCTCCTGGGTTTCAAGGATGCCCTGTCTCTCCCCAGGTATGGCTTTCTCCTGCCTTGGCTTTCCACGGTTGAATAAATCTCTCTGATCTCCAACCCCAATCAGAAAGTCCAGCTCATGTCATTTGTAAGGATATTTCCATTTCAACTGAGAATGCATTGTAAATGCAGGGCTTTTGTGCTGTTATGTAAATTAGCTTGAAAAAATTTAAAAATAACATTAATATTAAAATCAATATTAATATTAAACAAGAACAAATACTGCAAAACACCACTCTCACCATATAGACACTGAGCTCTTGACCACCATGCACATTGTCACTAGTAACCAGGGAAGGGAACTCAAAACTGATCTTCGTTGGTGAGTGCATTTGCCAATTGGCAAGCTTGCAGACCACCCGCCTGCCCATTCCCCCCTTTACTAATTGCCCTTCTAAGATTGTGGCAGAAAACACACCGGATTCTGCTTTGAAAACCACAGGGGCTTATGTGAGTGAATGACATTTTATTACTCTGCCCTTTAGGAATTAGCCTCCTTCCTGTTGGGCCGGCCATGGAACTTTCTCCACTTGTTCCTCAGATGTCAGTCACCCACATTTCAAATAATTCTGGAGACTGATATGACTGGATGATTTGACTGCATGTGGATCAGAGCTGCCTTCAAGCAGCTTTGGGGCCAAAGCTCTGTGACTAGAAGGAAGAAGCCTTTAACACAAAATCTGGGACAATAGCACTGCTCAAAAATCATCATCAGATGAGCTGTGGATAACACTGATCTGATAATTGGTTATTTTTGGTAAAATACATACAACACATCTCATGGTTTTATCAGAATTGCTCTTAAGCTGATGTGGGTGGAGAGCGGCTAAAGATAAATGCCAGAGGACTTGTATCCCAGCTGAAGGACAGTATTCCAGTTACTGAACTTTCAGCAAGTGGACCTTTTGAAAGTCATGATCTTCTTCGGAAAGGTTTGTCTTGTGTGAAAAATGAAACTTTGCCTGGTCATCCTCTTGAATTATCAGAAAAAAATTTCCAACTCAACCAAGATGAAATTTTCCACACTGAGAAACATTCAGGGTCTATTGACTCCCACTGAAATTACACACGGAATTCAAGGCAGTGCAGAAGGTACAACGTCTCCCATTTCTTTCAAGCTCAAACCTTTCACTGGATATTCTGAGGGCTAATGATGAGACGATTGAATTTGAAGATATTCTTAATGATCTGTCACAAGGTGAAGTAATGGGAGTACCACATTTGATGGTGAAATATAAACTTTTCTGTAACGCTGTGTGCTCTTCATGGAAAGAGGGCTGCGTTTTGTGCATAGTCGTCTTTTTACTATCATTTGATGTACACATGAGAATTTCTGCTCAAGTAGTCTTAATGATCATTTACAATTATTTGGGTCTTTGGTTTATGGCTATGTGACAATAAAGGGAGATGATTGTAAAGCTCCAAATTCATATGAAATTATAGCCTTCTATGTCTTTAATAATATTGCTCTTGAATATTATAAAACAGTCCACAGTTCAGCCTATTTTCTAGGTATTTTGTATGTTTAATTTTGAATAACCATCATCACTATTTGTCTGTAAACTTTATAGTAGCATCTTTTGGAAAAAGTATTCTTAATTGACTTTGGTGGCAACACTTCAAATTCAGTACATCATAAGATATTTATGCTTTGTCTTATTTCAGTATAGTCCACTGATACTCATAAGAGTAAGATTTGCTGTATTGGTGCTATTTTAGAATTATACCTATTCTTTGGTTCTTTCAGATTGAAAAGTATAAGTTCAGAGGTTTTGAGTTTGGTCTTGTCCTCAAAGTGAAAAATTAAATAAAGCAACCAGCAGATGTAGGTTAAAATAAAAATTGATGTGGGTGGATATTTTATTAAACTGAGTAATTCTTAACCTTTAAGTGCAGCACCTAGTCTCATAATTTCTATTTAATATAGCATGCCTATACTGCATTTTTATATTAGACATAAATTTGATTTTGTTTCAACAATTATTTTGACAATTTCTTTAACTTTTAAATTTTTATTTGTTTTATTTTTTATTAATCAATATTTTTTATTATGATATTGTGGGGTACAGTTAAGGGTTAGGTATACAAATATGCTTCATTCAGGCATCCTTGTTGATAA